ACATCGACTATGCCGGTCACCACGCTGTAGGCAAATGATACTGTCCAGAAGAATTCATAGTGGCAAATTGTAAATAAAATGAACCGCACGCCAGCAATCGTGGAGGAATGATTTAGAAACGTTCGACTCGGTAGGAATGCCTGGAACAAGAAGAAATAATAATCCAATTGGAAACAAGTTGCGAGAAAACAAATAACGACGCAAAAGATGGGGCAAAGTTTTAACAGCAAAACCGCCAAATGGGTCAGTAGTTCCAACAGTTGGTGTTTCTTCAAAGATGCCTTCGACTCAAAGCAAAAGAAAAGAAAATGTGATTTGAACAGTACATAATTCTGGATATTCTACAGTTACTCATTAATTGGTACTTTTAATTTAGGTTGGAAATTTTTTGGCCAACATTCTTCAATGTTGCTTTTGCTTATTTGGTTTCTCGCAGCTGTCAGAGATCCAGTCAACCGCATGTCTGTAGCATTTCATGTAGGGATCCCAATCCCGGACGATTTTTAAAATCCCGGGAATCGGGAATCCCGGTTTTGGCCGTGAAAAATCCCGGGAATTTTTCCCGAAATTTAAATATTACCTTATAACTTGGGTCAAGTCAAATTTGGGTATACAAAAAGTACATCAGGTACATGACTCTAAAAAGCATATTTATAACACCTACTTCTGTGTTTTTGGAATCTGTGCCGCAGAAGTACTTGTATAAAGTATGCTATATTCCGGCCTACATAAAATAGTATTTTGAAAATACATACATATGTACTATAGAAATACAAATTAGTGATTATATTGTTTTGCCTGCTATGGCAAATTAAAAAATTCGATGTAATGCGGAAGCCCAATTTTCGTCCACTAGTTTGGAGAGGTGTGAAGAAAGAGTTTGATAATTTCATCCCAGAAAACTTAAATAATTAATCAAGGATTTGCCAGCATGTTAATTCGAAATGCATAAATTTACGTTTATCAAATATCAATATTAATTGGCCTAAACTGCATTAAAATTAATGTTGAAAAACTTCAATTGAACATGGAACTTGGTAATTCAAAAATTTCAAGTTTAAATAAGTATATGAGCTAGCACGTTCAAAATGCCTTTCATGCAGCCTTAAATTCATGCACTAAAATTCGAAATCACTTCTAGCATGTTAGCATTTTTGATCATAACTGATTTTAGATTCTATGTATAATTATACCGAAAATAAGGGTTATTTGTTCCTTCAACTTATAATCTGACATCGAGATTATAAAATTCTAAGTTCCATCTTGTATTACAAATGTTACTTGCAAATTATGTAATTTGGATAAACGTACGAGTTAAATAAATGTGGCCACTAATATTGTTTAAAATTTAAATTTTCGAGTTCCGGATCAATTTTGACTGGTTATGCTCATCGAAGCTTTTTCTTACTAATCATATAACCGAAAATTATGTAAAACTGGTATTAAAATTGTAAATTATAAGTAATTTTCAATTCTGAATGACAAATTGAAAAATCCCGAAATCCCGGGGATTTCAGTTCTTCAAATCCCGGGAATAATATCCCGAAAAATCCCGGGACTGGAACCCCTAATTTCATGGCTGATACTCAATTACAAATCTATCCAGCTCCACCGATCCCCCCAGAAAAACATGTAGTCGGTGTCGTCGCCTCCGAAAAATTCGTTACTTTCGATCTCCCTAGTTGTTCTATCAATGCATGTCTTAACATTGATGCAATTGCCTGTGTTTATTATATTTTCGATGAGGCAAATATTATCCCACGCTGTAGTTCCCTCCTTTCCACAGAGCAGCAGCAACGAAAATACACACACAAACGAACCCATTAACCCAAGGAATATCACGTAGATTAAAACATACGTTGGCACATTGGTCACTTTCACGAATATTTCCCTGAGACATATTAAACCACAACATAAAGTTCCGAACAGTTCCACTGCTACGTTGAAATACCAAAAGAGTAATTCTTTGTGATTAAGTCGGTATACAAACTTCTTCCTCGACCTGTCCCACCGAACTGGGGGAGGACCCCACTTCTGAAATACAGCAGCATACTCGTTGAGGAGGTTAATAGTTGATATTGTTGGCATTTTGAAGTGTTTCCAGGAGAAATGAATTAAACAAATACTTACATCACTAAAAGGGAAACGTTAAATCATCAGAGCCCCATTACGATACAAGTTCACAGGCACGAGTATCGAATCGGTTTTAATAAATAATAAATATTGCCCTTACATAAGCAACGCTAGCGAAACTGAACTCTAGTGGAGGTGACTAATAGATTCTGAATTTATCTGTCCTTGCAAGTGTTTAATGGCTACTATTAAAATTTTGTCATCATATTGGAGCAAACTTCCCAGGTCCAGTGGATAATATTTTTTTAGCTTAAGTCCAGTAATATGTAAGCGCTTCAAATTTGTTTTCTTCATTTAAAACAAAAGCGTAGAAGGCATGTAACATACACACGGGACTGCCCAGTTAATGTACTTCGATAGCCAGTCAAATTCAATAATAATGAAGAGAACGGATAAACTTTCCAACACCATTTCTGATGCGATTGGCACCGAAATGAGTCTGATATGTTTAACATAAATAGATAAGGGACAAAAACGTGGGGTATCAACGACATATGGTCCATAAAACCCCCGACATTAACATAAAACAGAAAAACACAAGCCTTACCAAAAAATCAACTTTGATTTCGATTTCAAAGAAATATGCCATATGCTTTATGGCATCAGTAAACCTCACTTTTTTAACTTGCTCAATATTGCTAAAATTGACTTTCTAGTCTTCCACGTTGAGGATCACGGAACAGATTACTTATAATGGAAACGTTCTCATGCTACGCCGGGATTGTAAAACGAGTTAACGACAAAAATCAATTCAAAAATGTTTCTCTAATGGCTCCTTTTAAATGAACATATTGCCATCAAAGCTCTATTTTGAGTATATCTCCTCACAGTTTTGCCTCCACGGGGCGAAAAGGAAACGTCAGCATTACGTCAACAAAGAAAACAAATTTGTTGACCACCCACCCACCCCATCCTTATCCTACTTATCCATATTAAGCTTAACCCGAGGAACGAAGGCGACGCACAACCACCCACTCACAGTTTTGCTGACGTATTAAATATATTGATGTTCCCAAAACATGGCAGATTGGAAAACTCAATCCCTCAAAGGTCGACATACTTACAAAAAGACTTGATTTGAAATATATATTTCCAATTCAAGGGAAAAACGAGGACCACATAAATCCTAATTTTTGGCGTGATTTTTATGTATAACTCGATGGAAAATTCCTGTGTAGCTTGAGAAAAGGTCTGATTCTTAGCTGAATAACTTCGAGCAAAATTATATTTCTGGTTTTAGACGAGGTTTTTTTGTATTTCGGCCCGTCTGCGTGGGTGGGTGACGGGATAAAACCGTTACTATTTATCAGCTCACAAGTTGCATACTGGAAAATATCATAAAGCACATCAAAATCTGACGTTGCATGGACGATGCGTTCTCCTCCTATAATGGTGTATGCATGTAGTTACGATAGATATTCCTAATTTATTTCGAAACATTTTATGCTCAAGAACAACAGGCTTAAATATTTTAAACCCTTGTACACGTGCATTGATATCTACTTATTATTCATATACATATTTCTGTGGTTTTATAAGTTCTACCTGGTCTGCTATAATTATATTAAATTTTGGTCGTTCTGAGCTAAGGGGTTGTATTTAGTAATAAAATCATTGTAAATATTCATACCTACATCCGGTATAATTTAAAGAAATGTCGATGTCGCTCAAATTGTGTACAATGGAAATCTACCTAGTACCCGCAAAAGAAGTGTTACAAGATTTCCCGGGTGAATTAAGCAGGCTAGACATTTTTTTAGAAAGTTGTAGTATTTTTTATTGAAATCTCCATGCAATTGTCCGTCAGAAACCATGTTTCAAAAATTTTTCTGACCCAAGGTACCAAATTGATAGACTGGTGAAGAAGACATGTTACGATGTCAACATTTTGGTAAACAATAAAATTCTTCGTTTTTCAATTACTCAATAAAAATCGGAACTGATCGCAAGATCATCGACCGAACTATAAAACGATCCACTGACACCAGTAGTGTTGATGAGTTAAACAAAAGTGGAAAGGAACGGTCAAAAAGGTCATACAAATCATGAAGGTGCAGAAAACCTGAATTTGTCCAAATTCATGCCGAACCCTAAGAAAAATTTCCCTGCTAATGAACGGGTTGAGTAAAACTATGTCCCGGGCCCTTAAACTTGACATTGGACTTATGTCTTTAAGGCGTGAGGAGAAATACTTGCCAACCGCACGTCAAGTAAAAATAGAGCCATAAGAAGCCAGGCGCTGATCGTGCGGTACGCGCTTGAAAAATGAAAATAAATATTTTGAAAAGATGAGCAAACTTTCACCCTTGAGGCCGTATATTGAAAAATGGGCAATTTTTCCCTTTGAAAGGAATGGGAGGCCGGTTTGCCTCCTGCGCTTGGTAAAATTCGCCCATTTTTTCAACTTTGACCTCAAATATTTTGACAAATTCCGACCATCGCACAAACTGCCTCAAGAACAGTTGGTTGTATTGACATGGGCCACGTAATTTCAAAATTTCAGCCAATTCGGAGGGTTACACTTCACACCATCGCATTGTAAATATTGCGAGAATCATGATAACTTTGTGAGATTGTTCATTGCTAAATATGTAAAAGGACATGTCTTTATCTTGAGCGGATATGGCAACTCTTCAATATATGCATGTATTGATTCATTACCGATAATCTATATCTCAGAACAAAATCAGCTTAATTCTTTTCTCAATCGGACAATGCCCCCAACATCACAGAGATCTCAATTAAATGGGACTTTTTAGAAAAGAGAATATACACAATGATTTGAGACACTTTAAGAGATTTTGAGTGGCTCTAATCTTCTTCCGGTTTATTTCGCAATTCAAAACTACCAGCAACTCTGGTTCCAATAATTTTCTGTGCTCTTACCAAAATTCAATTTATTTATTTTCTCAATCTTCACAAAAGTCTAACAATTTAGGCTATAATTCTACATATTTAAATAAGTTGAGCTGAGTTACATATTTGCCTGGTAGCAGTAATAAAGACAACTTTTTCATGTAATAGGTTTTGTTAAAGCTTAAATTATTTGTTTACTCCAGCTTATTTGGCGGAGCCTCAAAGTCGCTTGATCCAACTTCGTGTTTGTGGATGAACTGATCCTGCAATTGTTTGGATTGTTTCATGAAAAAGTGCATAGCGACCTTGTTGAATCCACCCCAATCCACTTTTCCAGTTCCTGAAAAATTTGTAAGATTCCGAACTGTTGATTAAATACTGGAAATATTGTGCGACGAATATACCGATTTAATAATATTTTGAGCATTCACCCCAAAAAATTTAGTACACTATAAAAAATGTGTACAAAATTTACTCAAGACTGAGGAGGGGAGGTTGTGTACTATCAACTCCCGGATCTCGATGCCCTTTGGATATGTTGTAGTGTCCCATGAATGAACAAGGACCCTGAAGAGGTTTGATGCCATGGCCACATTTGCGCCCGCCACACCCACTCAAAGGTGCCCAAAAATCGCTTTCACTCCAGCTTTCACTAATTCAAAACCATGCCAAAAATCCAATTTTGCTCCGATTTTCAAATTTATTTCACCATTATACTCCCAGATAGTTGCTTTCTTATTTCCAACTTCAAACTCCACTTTTTGAAATTCTTAGTATTATTAAAATTTAAAATTCTGAATAAGCATTGTGGTAGTAATCAAGAAAACCAATTATGCCTGCGAAATAATCATCAAAAAAGTGGAGTTTGAAGTTGGAAATAAGAAAGCAACTATCTGGGAGTATAATGGTGGAAGAAATTTGAAAATCGGAGTAAAATGGGATTTTTGGCATGGTTTTGAATGAGTGAAAGTTGGAGTGAAAGCGATTTTTGGGCACCATTGGGTGGGTGTGGCGGGCCATGGAATCAAACCTCTTCAGGGTTCTTGTTCATTCATGGGACACTACAACATATCCAAAGGGCATCGACATCCGGGAGTTGATAGTACACAACCTCTCCTCCTGAGTAAACTATAACCAACGTTGTATATTAATTACACAACATTTGGCAAAATTTGCCCAATTCTTATTTCCATCACAATTTTAGTAAATCTTGAGTAAATTTAGTACAATTATTTTAGACTGTAATTGGCTATTGCCCATCGTATCTAAATATAACGACTTCAATACGGTAATAACTTAGTTACCGAATTTTACTACATTTATCAGATAATACCTTTACTCACTCCAATAAAGCTGTCATCCATATAATAATATTAATGAAAAAGTTAATCCAATTTTTTTTTAACTTGGCGTCTTATCAATTATGTAACCGTTTGGTAATAAATACTCATCCCCAGATTATTTAAAGTGTAGATAATCACCTGATCTTTCCGCATTAGCAATTTCTTGCTCCAACTCCGAAGCATTAATTTCCCATCCGGGCTGCATTTCCGTGATTAATTTTTTCACCTCATCTGGAGCTATGCTGCCCCTCCGCTCCGTTCGGTTGAAGGCTTTCTCGATCACTAAAAATAAATATCTCATAAAATAATTATACCTTGTCGCCCATCGGTTTCTCACCTTTATGCGATTCCGCACGAATTTTTTCTTCCTTAATTTGTACAAAAATTATGAATCAGAAACGGATTTATGTATATATATAATTGTGAACGTATTTACTCACCATTTTATCTAAATAAGTTTTGCTCGCAAATTGACGAAAATCTTTTCAAACTCTCTTCACCAAGGAGAATACCTTACTGAAAAGTAGAACTTTCTTGTCACACATATTTATCCGAAGTGGTACATATTTACAAGGTTTTTTTCGTGCGGAGTAAAGGGTTTAAAATAGCTCGAGATCATAAGGCATACCCTGTTTGTGTAAAAAAAATAACAATATATATACAGACAGAAAGACAGATATGCATTTTTGTGTAGAGAAGGTATTAGAAGTTTCTTGTGCATGGGGGGAAGCACGTAATAATTTTGGCACAAGTTACAACGCCATAATTGTGCTCGGCACGATGTATGAGATTATATTTATGTTTATGCACCCATCCATATTACGTCGCATTATTATTCACAACAAGAGCAAGGTTATGAAAAAATGTTGAACAAAATTGACTTCCCCGTTGATGGAGAAACGAGGAGGTGATGGAGTGAGAAAAAGTGAGAATGAAATGTTCCCTTGTTCTGGAGAGTATTTATACTCTCCATTTCCTATAGGAAAAGTTTCGTATTGAGGTAAGTTCAAGCAGTGCTTGGTATGTAAATAAGAACATTAACAGCTTTATATCTGTAAACTTAATTTTCCAAAATTTCAAATGTTCCCAACTTTTGGGAAAATTTGAAGGGAAAATGTATTTACAAAGGTGTCTGCAGTTTAGAAGATATTTTATTTTTTTTGCAAGAGGGCACTTTTTTACTATTGTTTGCATAAGCCACGGAATGTTGTAGAGTTTTACTGGAAATTAGCTCTCTTATGATAAGTTTCTTTACTTCACGGTCCCGGTGCCTCTGTTTGGTAGGTAGTGTGATAACTGATAAATTCAAATAAATTGGTCATGTTCTAGCCCCCAATTATCTACTGCATGCACGAAGAGTCAAAATACGGACTGCCCCCTCGCAGTGCAGCAAAGTACTAAAGTTAAATATGTCTTCATATTTAATTACTGGCAAAATTAGTTAATAAGTTTTAATAATTATATTCTTTATTGCTCCTACTCTTTAATTTCTTATCGCATACAAACACTCGTGTACTTAATTAAGTATTACTCCGCGCAAGCAACCTCTCACCGACCTCAAGGAAAATTTACGGTGGGTTTCTTTATTTCCTGTAAGATGAAACATTGTGAAGTGAGGCGAAGGCGAATGGCCATGGCATTTACACCCATGTCTCATCTTTCGTTTCACAGGAAGTAAATAAACCCACCGTAAATTTGTCTTGGGGCCGGTGAGAGGTTGCGTGCGTGTATATATTTACTTATATGTACAATACTGCTCCATGTGCCTTCATTGTGCTTTTCAGGAGGAAGTTTTCTTTTTAGGATGGTCTTTTGGTTTCCTTCGCCCATGCGTGTGCGACCTCTCGTGTCGAATGAAATTAAATTTTCTGCAACAAACCGAAGAAATATTGGAATAATTTGTATACAAATTATGACATATTTCACTCACCTGTGAAATTTTTTCTCACAGTATGAACATGGGTAACTAGAAATATCATGGAATTATTTATTTTACACTATTTCCTCCAAATGATTTTTCTTACATCTTTCCCTCGGCACTTCCATGACTGTCATTGTGCTTATCAAGTCGTTCCTGATATCTAAACCTGACTTCGCACAGGTCACAGGCAAACGCTGAAAAAACAGAAATATGTTACACATTTATTACCTAGTTGACAAGAAATATAAGGATTCTCAACGTTGAGCTGGCGATAAATAGATATGCACATATTTGATTTCAAATTTTTTCGCAATTGATTTATTTTTTGAAAGAATAAAATTTAATGAGCCCTGAAATTATCTTAAATCGTCCGGTAAAAATGCCTTAAATTGCCTTATCTTAATTTGTCAGGAGTTTAAATTTCTGTAGATTTCTGTAAATTAAAATTTTCCACAATCTAACAAGTTTAAAATGGTGTAAAATGCCCAGCCTAAAAAACTATCTATTCAATGAAGTATTTACCGAGAAAAAAAAAACGTAATTTCAAATTGTTTGCCTACATACATATTCGCTTACATACACATAAAAAAAACAAATAAAGTTGAGACCCCCTATAACTTCTGTAACCTGTATTCTTACGTCTTTCATCTAATTGCTCATGAAACTCAATGTGGGCCTCCAAGTTCTCCGCAATAGCAAATCCTTTCTCACAAAATGGGCAGGATAAAGATTTGTCTTTCATTTTCAGCTCGTGCTCCTGTAATAAAGCACAAGTTATAAATTCATATAAACATTTTATTATTTGATTAGTTGATTACCTGCAAATGGAGCTTGAGATAATCTTTCGACGCAATTTTTCTATTACACACGACACAATCCAATTTTTCTTCTCTATGTATTTTCTCGTGCCGGGTAAGATTATAATTTCTCGTAAACGTCCGTTCACATAGTTTACACTTCAAAACCTTTTCAGGATGACTCGTCTCGACATGGACATCCAATTCTGAGGGACTAGGAAACTGAATTTCGCAATGCGTACAAGGGTAACTTTTCCGTATACAAAATAATTAAAACAATAAACACACTGAAACTGAAGTATTCCATCACTCCAGCAGAAATCCTCAGTTAGGTCATCTTGAAACATGACGTACAAAGTGGAACAGAGTGGCGCAGAAGAGTTTAACCGGTGGATCACTTCTTATATAAGAAGTTAGGCTTAAAGGTCTTCGGATAAGTATTGGTAGTACTGTTGATAATAGAAATCTCAATTTTCGCAAAATTTATTATTTTTCCCATGCAATTTTTCATACATGTCGAGTCTGCATTTTTCATGCAAAGCTAACACCTCGAGACAAAGTGATGGTGGTGCACACGTGTGATGGTGAAAATTGACCCGGGAAATTGCTACACAGATGTTTCCATATACCAACTGAAATACCAATAAATTTATTGGAATAATACCAATGGTATTTTCAGAGCAAAAAAAAACACAAAATTTATTATATAAAAATTGCCAAGCTATAATTGTAGCGAGGATTTTGCCCACTTTCTAATTGGGCAAGTGGTTGATTACAATATACTACATAAATATTTATTTACTAAATTTATGTGGTGCCTTGTTTAGAATTTTACTGTAAAATTTTTACATGATGTTTCATCCTAAGTTAGGATTCTTAACTGATTTGTTCCCTAGGATAATAGTGAAAGGATATCCAAGTTTTGCAAATTGTAATGAAACCCTACATTTGACAACCAATTCCCAATTATGTTGAAAAAGCGGTGTAAATTATCCCCTCCTACCTCACAACCGGAGATACTTTTACCAGGAGAAATAAAGATTGAAGGTAAGTACTTATCGATCGAAATAAATTCCATCATCCTGTTTACAATTATCTTTTCAATTATGGTATTGGATATGTATTCGTAAGTAAATAAATAGTGATGTTTTCATGAATTGTTTTTCAGTCCCTGGAAACGAACTCGCTATCAGAAGAAATGAATTTACAGAAATTTCAGTCCCCTCTTGTCCCACTTGCGGGGAGGTGTTCCCATCCGGGGGGTCAGATTTAGAGATACACTCTTGCCCGGAAGTCACCCAAGATGTGTCTCCCTCTCACCTTTGCGGAAGGATAATCCCCACGAATCGTGGCAAAGGTATGGGTGTCAAACTTAATATATATGCGTATGTAAGTATGCAAAGTTACTAAATTTGAAATATATCAGTTATATTTAAATAGTTGCAAATTAAAAAGTTAAGCCTATCTGAACTTATGGATATGGACGACATCCCCTAAGAAATCAACGATGTGGGGCTTATGTAGCTGCAGGCTTATCAATTTTACTGCTGCTAAGCAGACATATGTAGTTTATCCAGCTTAGAAGTTGATAATGATATTATATTCTAGTCGACATTTAAACACTCCCCAGGGGAAGGAGTTTCTACAATGTTCTACTTTGGTTCTGAAGGTTTGCTAATTTCGTCTACTTAATTCTGCAGGTGCTGATTACAAAGATTTCCAGAAACTCAGTGATATCAATTCGCGACATGACGACAAATTCGGTGACCATGTCGCAGGAATACAGAATGCGCAAACAGCGACTACAAATATCCCTAAGATTATTTACGGTAGCTCCGATTAAAGGTTTATCCTTGTAAATTTAATTAATACGAATTCATCCCCTTGCATATTTTGCACAGGTGGACCGATTCCATCCTCTCTTCCTTACAACAGTTCCGGCGACGGTGTTAACCCCACAAATTGGACTTGTAAGGAGGAAGAGGGTGACACAGAGTTGTCAAACCACCCAATACTAGAAGGCCACGTCGGCCATACTCAGTCAACAGATATTGCAACATCATCGCCCCACATTGCAGAATCTTCTTCACGATTCAGAGAGGCAGACGAGTCCCCACTATTTGACGGAATTTGTGTCATAAAAAAAGAAAACTTTCCCGACTCCACACTCTTCCAAGCCGACGAACATGAGTTGGCCGAACTGGAGGAGGACGAGAATATTGGTGAGTGGTTCAACTTAAGAAAATGAATCGGAATTATAAACTTCAAATTGTGAACAGAAATCAAACACGAAATAATAGTTGACAACTTGAAATCTGTCCCTGACCTCTTGCCCCCTGCTGTTCGGTTGGATGCCAAAACTCCAAAAGGAAGTTCCGAATTTGGGTGCCTCATTTGTGAAAAAATATTCCGAAAGAAAGGACACCTGAAGCGACACGTTTTAACACACCAACCAGAAAAAACCATTTGGCTGTAACTTCTGTGCAAAACGATTCGCTGCCAAATGCAGCTTACAAATTCACCTCGTAAACTTTCACAAACTTGATTCAAAGCCGATCCAGTGTGACGATTGCCATCTACGGTTTTCCTTGGCGGAGGAACTGAACAAGCATAAGGGATCGCGATGTTATA